CTTCTCCTGTATTTATTGTTACGCGTGCGATAGAAGGACTAGATCATCTGTGAACTACAGATCGTCCAGCTGCATTATGGCTGCCTATCCACTGTATACTGTGCTTCCACCCCAGATAATGACATCTTCATAATGCAGTTGACCATCAGGAGAAAGAGAGAGGATGACAGTGTTGGGGATGTTAGATCCCCAGAACTCGCTTGATAAATATCTTTATTTTGAATTTATTTCATGGACCGATCAGTTGACCTTGAGATCACATTTCCCATCAGGAAAATCATTGGCTATGATTGATTACTGTGTCATTTTAGTGTGCGCTATTTTTGTAACTGTCCCAAGGACGTCTCTATAGCGCATAAATAAACGCAATTTGAGTGCTTGGATTGATTGTGTGCTGCTGGCTGGGTGTTTGTAGAATACAATTTCTACGTTATATCAAGTACTTCTTGCTTGTACAATTTGGTCAATGGATCACAGTAACCTACCTAGAGACGAGCGTAACAGAGAGAGAGTAAGCAACCTTTGCAGACTCTGACTAATCTTCACCTCGAACGAGTTTAGGAATTGTCGTCCATACCCTATCTTGCAGTTTTAATCCATCATAAGAATTCTATATGATGCTGATTATCTTCTCAGACACGCAGTACATTTGAAGAAGCCAATATATAGTGTCATCTTGTGTACGCTGTCGAATGCTTTCTAGTAGTTAAAACAGTCGTTATAACATCAATTCTCATATACACATACACCTAATAGATGAGTGTGCTGAATACAGAGTGAAACATGTATTCTGAATTCTTTTTCTAAATCCACCATATACAACTCAAATTTTTATGTGAATATCTTCTCAACAAATCAAAAATGCCCTAACCGTTGGACCACTGAGTCGGTAATCTAACGGTGTTAATGTCTAACTTGATCAAATTCATGGAGTTGCGCAACCTCATACACAGTCTTCGGTAGATATTGCCTATACCCGAACAGGTTTAACCTCACTGGTCACGCCTTCCGGCTCAATGGTCCGATGGTTAGGCGTTCGCCTACAATACCGAGGGTCCTGGGTTCGAATCCTGCGGGGTGCAGGAGTCGTGGATGCGCACTGCTGAAGAGTCCCATACCAGGACGAAACGGCCGTCCAGTGCTTCCAGGTTTCTAATGGTCGTCTAACATTTATCGGTTCAAAAATGTGTAACTTTTAACAATCTTCACAACCCCTTAATGCAAATTACCTGTGCTCACTAGTGACTAGCTTCGTGAGGAATCTTCTGCGACTTCTAGTGGGAAGACTTGACCAGTGAAGTTCAATCTGTTCGGGTGTAGGCAGTGTCTACCGAAGACTGTGTATGAGGTTGCGTAACTCAGTGAATTTGATCAAGTTAGACATTAACAGCGTTAGATACCGGCTCAGCGGTCTAACGTTTAGGGCGTTCGCGCACAATACCGAAGGTACTGTGTTCGAACCCTGCGGGGAGCAGCAGTCGTGGATGCGCACTGTCACTGATGAGTCCCATACCAGGACGAAACGGCCGTCTTTCAGTGCTTCCAGGTTTCTAATGGCGATGGTCTAACATTGATCGATTCATGTTTTCCAAAATGTGTCTAACTTAACAATCTTCACAACAACCCCGTAATGCAAATCAAAAATGATAAAAGTCGACTGTTATGGTTGTGTTGTTTTCATTTGTAAACAATAAAACACCTATTTAGTTTTTTTTTACACTAGAAAAGGTGTAAAACCAATCAATCAATAATACTAACTGTCTCAATCGAATCATTTATCACACACAATAAAAGAAACACAACCATTGATGATACTGATAATCATTAATAATAATAATGATAATCACAATGATGAAAATTCTAAATTAAGTGTGAATTACTTGTATTCATTATTGATTTGAACATGTTTGAATACAAAAAAAAGCTACATAGATAGATGTGTGTATGTGCTTGCTTGTGTGTGTTTCTGTTGTGATAATAAACTTGATTTGATTTGATTTGAATTGATTTTGACAATCAAATTTCTATTCCACAATTCTTCTTCTACGCATAATAATAGCTGTTACCTATTTTTTTTTCTCTCAAAATAGGGATAGTTAATTGCTCAATTGTCAATATTATTCAATGTACAATCATTATGATAATGTTACGTTTATGTGTGTGTGTGCGGTTCAGTGATAATGACACTGAATAGTCGATAAGAAAATTGATCGGAATCTGTAGTTCACACATTATGAAATAATATCAAGTTTAATGTTAGTTGTATACAATTTAATTGTGTTGCATAATAGTGTTTGACATTTTCATGTTATCCTTGACTGGTTATTGCTCACAGTTAATTATGAATATGATTGTTATTACTATTATTATTAATATTAAGGTGATTAGATTGTTTACACCTATGTTCTAACTATTGTATAACGTAATTTTATTTACTAGGAGAGAGATTTTTTATGAATTTTTTTCAATAATATGAGAATGTTGATAGTTTTTAAATCATCATTGATAGAGGGAAAGTATTTACTGAGTGTTTTGTCGTAAAATAAGAATCTTCAATGATGAATACACATGATTCTGCATCAAGGAATCAAACCAAGATTCTCCTGACTCATTTGCTAATAGTTAGCCTACAGAACACCATGAATACAATTCCGAGATGTATGATTAAATAATGCGTCCGCATCGATAAATAGCCCCATACTAAAATGAAATGCACATCCAGTATGTTTTCGAAAGCCTTATACAGACAAGTATAAATTTAGCTTATTGATGGAGCCATGAAATATCTTTCAAAAAAAAGATTTATAAATGACCAGAAATGCCAGGAAATGTTTTATTCAATCAGCATTGAGTAGAATCTTCACAGAAACACCTGGAAGGTAAAGAATCCTGTGCCAGGATCAGGACCGCATTGAATACGGTTCCTGAATCTTCCAGAAGCCTAAATCATGAGTAACGCTATAAATATCCTCAGTTTTCAGTACGAAAACCTATCTTGTGTTCAAGGTGCTGTGTAGATTTGAATTTTTTGCTAGATAGTGTTTTATAGTGAGTTGGTTTTTAGACAGCATGGGATCGTTAACCCTATGCCCAACCTTCCTTTTTTATCCGGGTTTAGGGTCAGTAATAACCCCAGGAAGGCTCTAGGGTAGAGTATAGTGTAAATTTAGGCTGACGTTATTAGAAACGGATAAGAAATCAGATCTTGCATCCATTTAGTCAACTTATCGGAAATCAACTGGGGGAAATCATTGAAAAATAGGAGAACAAATTTAAGCTAAGTCGACAGAACAATTTTTCAATAATCTGTGAATATTTGACAATTAAATTGACAACCAGTATATGTTAAGTTCATCACTAGGTACGCTTGAAGCTTTCATGGGTTCACCTTAGTCGATAAACGCGAACGAGATAATTACCATCGTCCAGGTAGGCTACCTTGAATCCCAGCTGCAAAACAGAAGTCTTGATAAACGTAGAAAGTATATTCTACAACACCCAGCAATCACACAGTTCAATCAAGCACACAAATCTCGTATATTTATACATCATAGAAACATCGTTGGGACAGTCACAAAAATAGCACACTAAAATAACACAGTGACTAATGACAGCCAAGGATTTTCCTGGTGAGAAATGTAATCTCAAGGTCAACTGATCAGCCCATACTGGCTAACGTGAAATCCAAGATACGGCATTTATCACGTGAATAATTGTCCACTCTTAAACAATCCCACTTCAATAGTCATCAATCATTATGTACGTTCACAATTGGGAGAAATAATTCGTCTCAGTAAAAATAAATCATGATATCACTTGTCATGAGACCTAAAAATCACACTAGATCCCAGTTGAAATGAACTAGCCGTAATGACATGTTATGAGAAGTTTTATGTTAACACTTCTTACTATACAGTAGTAATTCTCCAATTGATAAATCAACAAGACTTTATCAATTAGTCCATTGAACAATTCCATTGAACATAATTCTCGATTGTTACATTGTCAATTGAATTATCACGTATTTAAATGAGAATCAATATTCCACACTTTTTATGTACAATACTACTAGTATTATCAACAATCAATATCACAGTGAAACTTATCTTCTAGTTTAGTTGGCCTTTTATTCATACAGATGACTATACACACACACACAAAAAGTGACAAGTCCATGTTCACACTCTTTCTGAACACGATTAGCACCACCTCATTCATTCTTTATTCAATGAAATGATAAGTAAAAAATATACATGATTGTTATTATTATTGTTGTTTTGGTTAAATCATACTTGACAGATTCTACAGTTGAAAAATATCTGCAACTCCAAACAACTTTCAAACAAAACCAAAATAAGGATTTTCAATACAAATGTCAAGACAGTTCTACTGTATGGAGCGGAAACAAGGAGAACTACCAAAGC